AAGCAATAAATGCGGTCTGAAGCCGACTTTCCTGCGATTTTCCAAAGATGGAGAGGGCGCCGAGTGCGTGATGGCTCACAGAGTTTAAAAGCAATGCGCTACGCTTGTATATCCAATCGCAATATACAAATATGCACAAAACATCCCTCTGTTTGTCTGCCTGCATTCCCCAGGGCCTTTCTAGTACACAGTGAAGCCAAGTGGAGCACAGCATGCTTGCACCAACGATGTACCAATATTACGACGCCAGAAACACAAAAAAACCATCTCTCTGCAGTGGGAATCATTGCATGAATTTCCGGTCTTGCTTCTTCTGCTCGCACTTGCAAGCGCGGTAGCGGATGAACCATTGACTGCTTTAATAATTAGAGCTTAAGTAGGGAAAATCTCCCCGGGTCGTCTCTTCTCCACAAATACAGCAGTAAAAATCTAAAACGCAGAGAGCTAATAATGGCGACCCACGCATCCGTCGTAGTGAACGCTCAGAGCTAATGAATATAACGGAAACCCGAAATTTCAAACTCATTATATGCACCACAAGCGCAGCCAGTACTTGCGAGTCCTGTCGGTCTAACTACCCGTCAGAACTCATCAAAATCCTGCGTTTCTATAGTTTATTCAACTGCACTGCAGTACCAGCACGAAAAGCTGGCACGTGTTATCTCTTCTCACAACAAAGTGGTCTCACCCTAAGCTGCAAGCAACATCAATGCGCTGTCTTATGAACTCAAGATTTTTCACTTCGCACCACGGAAGTAAACAGGAGGCTCCAATTCGCTGAGAAGCCCTCGCACCTTTTTGGCTGCTTCCTCGGCTGTAAACGCCTTCCCCACCTTGTCCTTCTTGAGTGCAGCAACTATTTGTCTCGCCAAATCAAGGTACTTGGCGGCATTCACAGATAAAACTGTTGTCACGTTGCGTCCTTACTCAGTTGGCACCACGACTGGAAGCTGTAGTGCGTGTTTGAGCCCAGAATACTGGATGCCATGTTTGGCGAACCAAATGAAAAGAATTGGCGACTCAGGTGTTTACAGGCTTCAGACGGCGTCCGATACTTACGTTTCCGCGTGAATGTGACAACATTTACCAAGGCTGGAGCTAGCCTAGAGACGCTCTCCAGCACTATGGTGTGGTTTTGTAAGAATGCCGCTCCGAGTTTATATTCCCATCTTGACCAAGACTAGTGTAGTATTCTCATATAGATTTTGGCCTCAGCTTTAGGTTTGTTGACTAACTTGTATATTGTGAACAGATTGGGCACTGCCGCCATGAACTGGAGGTGCGCAAGTATGGTCTGAATTTCCATGTAAGTCCTGCGGTTCCGTTGATGTGACCCCGTGTTCTATTAATATGTGCGTGACATCTGTAGTGGCTGTTGAGTGTATTGCAGAGCGGCACAGTCACGTATCGGAGCCGTCCAGCTGTAAAAGCCTTCATGCCTTTTGAACTCCACAAAAGCACTTGAACAAGCTACGTACATCAAATTAGAAGGCCGGAACCTCATATATACTTAGCATAGCCCTACTTCTACTTGCGCGGAAGTGAAGTAGTAGAGAGACAAGCACGGCTTGAAGATGCTCCGCTTGTTGAGCCTGGGAGCGTGGACACCCTCAGGGGCCCGTCTTTCCCTCAAGAATAAATTAAAATTTCCGCAAATGTTATGTTCAATACTGTGCTGCGTTACAGAGCCCTAATACCGTTCGCAATTGGAGTGATGCGCACTACAGGAAAGGAAGACAGCCTTCACTGTGAACGGTGTCAACCCCACACCGCGGTGGCAGCCAACTCCCTAGTAAAGCCGTCGCAAAAAGTAATCTCAATAAATTGGGATATTCTTTTGGCCTATTCTAGTCAAGACAGTGGTAGGCTGCATAAAACAACGTCGAATTGAGGGGTTGCGTAGTCTGAACTGATTGCCAGAAGCAGGTGGCTACAATAGAGTGTTTACTGAGCTTCCTCTTTTGGATTCCGATCATAGGTGTTCGAAAGGCTTATGTTGCAGTACGACCAAAGAAATTTGACGCCAAGCTGCATCGGCGAAGGCAAGCGGATCAAAGTTTCAGAGCGTTTTGCTGGGATGAATTTTCTGGATCCAGGAGTTCCTCTCCAGACGTCTTGAAGCACACTGAGCGTTGTTACTACTCCACAATTCCACGGCTTTTTTGTAAGCAATCCAAATACGCGATCTTATTAGCTTGTTATTTATTTGAAAATATTCACGCGAAACGACATCTGCTCCAGCATACCAGTTGTGGAAGGCTGAGCGCAAGCTGCTTCACCATCGAGCTTGTAGAAAGTCACTAACTTGTTTTGCCACAGAAATGAGTTGAACCCTCAATGCATGAGCGCCAAAAAGTCTCTGGCACTTGGTGAGATGTACCAGCCTATGTAAATCCTGTCGTACAAGACTACTCTGCTGAGTCGACAGGCAAACTAGCGCAAAGTTGATTTGTTCACCAGTATAATCGGATGGCCTTTGCATGTTCCCCGTACCGACGCCAGTTCGCGTCCGGTGGAGAGCAGCACTTGGATATCTGGAAATTCAGGGGTTCTGACACCAGTTTGGTTGACAACGAGGCGTATGTCTCTGGCAATGATGGACCCTGGATTAGGTTTGCCGGGACTGGAGACCTTCACAGCGGAGGTTTGTAACCAGACTCATCCAAATGCTGCGGACTCCCCAGCAGCCACGGGACTTATTGAACCTTCACCATATGGCCCCGCAAACGAGGCGACCAATACAAAGTGTCTTCGCATCGGTAAATCTCTTCGTTGCGGACAGGCTTCATGTGGATACAATTTGCTCGCTGCATTGGCGTCGATAGCAGCACTTATAACAATATTGTATGCATGCTTTCGCGTCTACAACAGGGCGAAGGGGCGGCGAACGCAGCGCCGTCGTCTTTCCGACACAGACACCGATGATTCGGATTCGGACAGACTTATCGTTAGCCTCTGCGAGAACTCTTCCGATGAAGATGAGCTGGAGGCCCCTGAAAGTCCTACTGAGACATATGTACCGGCAAGTAAAAGACCACGGATGGATAGAGCGCAGGAGTTGGGACATACAACTGGTAGACCTCAGCAGCAACAAACGGCTATCCGCGTGAGTGTGATCAAGTTTCAGCCCAAAAGTCAAGGCCAGAGCGAACCACAACCAAGTTCGCCACCACACACTTCGGCCACAGCTTCACTCTCAGCACCCGTGCAGACGGGAATGCATCAGCAAGCAGTTGGCGGTCCATGGGGGCTGGCTTTGGAGCAGGAAGCTGCTTTAGGTCATGGCGAAGGTGCGAGGCAGCAGGCTATTGGCCAGAGGGAGGCCAGTATAGCAGTTGAGTCACTTGGTGGTCCATGGGGGCCAGCTTTGCAGCAGGAAGCTGCTTTAGGTCGCGGCGAAGGTGCGAGGCCGGCTGCTCGTCATCCAGTGACCGAGCCAGTGGGACAAGGAAATATGCAGCGTCACATTTCCCTTTTCGATGCTCAGTCCGGTTTCCCGATCATTTTTTCCCCATGTGCTGGCACATCCGATTCTGACAGTGATGAAAGGAGCAGCACAGCAACCACTCAGAGTGCGCCTATTCTCGCATCTCTACTGGCCCCCTCACCTAAAGAAGAAGACTATCTTTCACACCCATTTGCCCGGCTGCCAGTCGTGCGCGGCCGTCGGGGTCCTTATTATGTAGACTTTGAAGGGGCATTGTTCGCTGAAAATGTTACTCAAAACCCCTTGCCATTGTTGCGCTTGGTACACGGCCTGCTGAGTCAACAAGAAATTGCCGGGGAACAGCTCGAGTTCCTAGCGACATTGGGAAGTAAGCTGGCGGCCCACGCCACGAAGTTACATAGGCTGGGACTGAGGTACGCTACGCCATCCCGTGCGTGCGAGAGATTGGGGACCCGCTTCTTGGTTCTCGATGCAGTTGTATCCACTGCTATAGTGCTGGAACAGAAGGTCTCTCTACAATTGTGGAGAAGATTTGTTTCAACTATAAGCCACGAATACCCCAAGCCCCCTGCATCGATGACAAACAGAGGACGGAGGTTCTTTCTTGCGAACTTCGCTGTGCTTCTAAGTAATGCGGTGAAAACGCTAAAGATGGGATTTCGCCCTTCCGCTGAAGAACTTGTGCTTCTGAAGCGCATGCTCTTCTGCGCACCGTACTCCCCTCCACGTTACAAAGCGGAAGGCTATGACGCATGGAGATTTAGTGAGCTTGTGCATCAGGGATCAACAGGCACTCCTAGTGCACGAACGGCTGAGGCCTCAAGTGCAAAGTTCAGTGAAGCTTCTCGTGACGTCGCTCCAAAGCCTTATCCTGGGACATCTGCCAGACTCATTCGTAGTGCTAGAGCTAAAGCGCCTTCTAGGATCCGTCGTGAGACATCTGGCTCCTTCGCAGGAAGCCCTGCAGGAAGCCCTGCAGAATCATCTAAACCTGCTGCAGCATCTGCCCAACCCCCCCACGAAGCCAATATCGGCTTTTTATATCAAGTGCCTGCTCCGACCCATAGTGGACCCTATAGAGGGCCCTTCTCCGGCGTATTTCCCGGAACTTCTGATGGGATGAGTCTGGAATCACGTAGTGGAAGTGCGTTTCATACAGTGAGGAGGCGCCGTGAAGGTGCTGAGGAGCCACATCGCATACCTTTATCTGGATCCTCCGCTAGAAATGAATCACATTCTCCGAGGCCAGTTAGCTCCATTGAGCACTTTCCTGGACCCTCGGCTAGTGGGAGCTATTTGCCTCCTTTGGCCTCTGCCGAAACTTCCGCGGAAATTTCAGGTCTACCCGTTTCTGGTGGAGCTTTCGCCTTACCTTTTCCCTTTGCTGCACCTTTTGCTGGATTACCTTCTGGAGCGTCTTCTGGACCATCTGTTGGAAGGCCTCCCGAAGCGTCTCCTGGTCTTTTTGCGTTACCCGTTGTTGGTGGACATGTTGGTGGACATTTTCCAGTGCACCAACCTACTGGTCCCTTCACTGGACCGCCTGCTGCGCGCCTCACTGAACGAACTTTTGGATCCGCTGTTGGGGCTCCTGTATTTTATGCTCAAGCGCCTATGGACCCGTATGTTAGGCCCGTTGCTGTGCCCGTCGGCCTCCCCATTGGTGGGCAGCTTTCTGGCCATGAAGCTTTGGGAAGTACGCAAACCAGAGTGTCTGTGGATACTCATGGTAGCTCTGATGATGGCGCTTCTGGAAGTACTGAAACTGCTCGTTTGCTTACTGAAGGAAGCACTCACAGTGACTTTGATACCTCTTCGGGAATGTCTGGTGGGGGATTTGCTGGGGCCTCTAAATCGCCGGCTTCGGACGAATAAAGGCCCGCTCCTTTGCTTCCACCTCGCACCAATACGTAAAATGGAGCATGCGCCAACAGTTGTATTAATTTCGTCAGGGCACCAGTAAAAGTAACGCCGTCAACGAGGTCATTTATCGACGGCGCGATGTGAAGAAGGCCGCAAAAGGTTGTGTAAAGGGGAGACCTATTGTTCAGCGTAAACAATTCAGCATTTTCAGTCATTGCACTTGGCAGCAGTTACACTAATGAGAATTTTAGGCAGAGGCTAATCGGAATGGAACAGTCAGTGTCCGTACTTTGGAAGAGGACGCGAGGGAGCAGCATGCGTCCTTCCCCTCCATGGTCCTACATTTCAGTCCGCGAGCTAAGCAGCTAGAAAGTCAGCCTCCTTGATTTGGATAGGCGTATAGCCTCTGGAACGGACAAGGATCGATGAAACGATCAGTTAGTGAGGGTGCCGAGGTGACAACGAACAAACCAAGAAGGCCCCGATTTGGAAGTAACTCCTGCTATTTTTTACGCGGGAGCACGGCTAGAGATGAAATCGGCAGCTTTCGTCTGTCACTTCCCGGTCGTTAACGTAATTAGAGACTTCCAGACTCCTCGATAGCTTGCGCTTGTGGCGCATGATTGTGGTATGCAGTCCAGCTGTACCTTTTGGGCTATTGGTTGTCAAATAGCTCGTGTTTCATTATTTCGGATGCATGTAGACGCCCTGTTCGTGCCATGGGTTTTCGCTTATTGCCACGCTCTGTGAGAAGTGCGCAAGATTTTTGTGGCGAGTGGCCGCAGATTACGTTTCGGTCATTTATTATGTAGATCTTCCGCTGTTCTTATCAGCATGCAATGATGATAAGAACAGATGCAAACAGAGATAGGCAGATGAATGGACAGAAGGGAAGGAGTGGACAACCAGACGCATTGAGGCGGCCTGAAGGTCAGATGGATACAAAGAGTTAAACAACAGGCAGTGGCGGAGCTGGAACTGCGTGAAGCAGCAGACATCTAAATAAGCAAAAGCAGCACACGGATAGGCAGACACGCAGAGACGGGCAGACAAATAAAGAGAGCCAGGCAGAGGCAGACATGCATTCATGCCACGACAGGTACGCATAGACACATAGAAACATAGACACAGTGAAAACAAGTTGAAGACTTACTTCTCTTAAGAACTGCCTCACGAAAGCTCTGCGGGACGTCAGTTAAATAAGAACCAATACTTCGTTTTTGCGGCGATTCCAGTGTTGTTCGGAAACACGCTTCTGCCCTACTTCGCTGCTACTCGGGGTCATAGGCGGATCACGAATTGGAACCATGATTTGCGCAACGGATTAGAATGTTAGGAGCTGTTTTAAAGGCTGAGTGCCACTTTGCGCTGTATCTCATTGTCCAGCTGTAGTCAAGCTGTATATTGTGGAAATCTTCGCTTCCTGCAGTCGATATGTTTTTCCTTTAGGTTCAGCTATGAACGGGAGCGACATTCTGCTGCTGTCCATGGATAGAGTAGACCGGCAAGCCTTATGTAACCAACGTATCAGCAGGGCCAGCCGCTCATCAATGGTCGGGCTGATGGGCGATGTACCGGTGTCGAGATTCCCCTTGCACCTATTCTCAGAAGGCAGACACTGCTGCCATGCCAACACTGCATGATTATCGTTCGCCCTCCGTCACTGTCTTCACAATCAGCTGTTCAACCCCCTAGGCCAGGGCGGCTTCAAATTCTCCAACATGGGTACCGCCCTAGTCGTTCGAAGCTCGGCTCTTCTTGCTGCTAGTGCCTCCAGTAGCTACCTGCCTTTCTTCTGGACATGCTCTTTCTTCCTTAGCTTACACCGTAGCTTCATGTGAAGTCCCTACCCGGTGGGTTTCTCTTTCATGCCATGGAACAGGCCTCGAATTCCAGCTAAGGGAGTACTCGATGGCGTTCGGCTCTATTGCTGCAGTGGACAGTTGCTCCTTCTAACGTTCCTTGCGCCTAGTTTGTTCGTGTTCCATAGCTCGTAGGCTTGGCTGTTTGAACGTTACTGCTGCTCTCACCTCTTGGAAATGCAGCCAGGAAGTAGTCTTCTGTCCCTCGTCGCACCCTAGTTGCTGCTTCGGCGGTGTAGCATGGCCTGTATCATTCAGGTTTCCCCATCCGCATGGTTTACAGCCCTTCGACAGCGGCAGGCGCAGTCGCTGCGTGAGAATCTTCGGCAGATGTTCCATTTCCTTGCACTCAAAGCACATAGAGCTACGCTCCGAGCTGGCTTTCTCTCTTCTTAGCGCCCATAAAAGATCGCTTGCCCCATAATGGCCAGCCCACCTAGGCTGAGCGCCATATCATTTCGCCGTCTCCTCCGTCTCTGCTCTAGCAGCCGACGGGTCTTCCAAGGCTTGCAGCTCAGCGACCACTTCTCTCCAGTCCTTGGAATTAAGTGTAGCACCCCTAGTTGGGGCCGTCCTGACGCCCAGTGGCAGACTGTCCAAGCAGTCCACTATGGCAAACGCACCCCCGATGGCACTGTCTTGGCGAAGCTGGCATAGTACAGCTGGTGGTCTCCTGGCCACTGATCAGCTTTGGTGGCGGATCATTGCTGACCAACGTAAAGCACAGAAGAGCTGGGGCATGCCCCTCTCCATATGTGCGCTGCGTGTAATCTATCACATATGCTATTTTCCCTCTTAGACAGACCCACTGCACCAAAGTATTGGCTTCAAAGTATTCCCCAAACTCGTGTCCTCAATAACTTCGATCTCCGCCGAGTTTCGTAAATCGTGCTTTATGCTTAGAAAGATCTGCATTTTGTTTCCATTCTCACGAATGATTGGCTGCAAGACGGTGGGTGCCTCTCCTTTCAAGCTCTTTTGCACCGCAGGTTCCCTTTCGAGAGCTACCGTTTGATACAACATAGCTACCCCGCCTGTGGTGCGGGTTCTACTTGTTTCCCCGTGGGTTACCTTCTGTAAGGGTGTGGTCGAGTCTTGGTGGTCTGGAGTTATGGTTACAAAAGCCACCGTCAGTCCTCGTTCACTGGCTTTTTGGGCGCTAAATATTTGAGGGAATGCTGCGCCCTGATCGCCTATTGCTTGCGCATTACGTGGATGCCCACTAATGAGCTCTGATGTGTTATGGAGAGCAAGCCCCCAAGCGTTCTGAGGTAACACCTGCTTTGCGCCTAAACAGTACATCACACTGGGCACATAGGTTCGTGCTTGCTTCTAAACGTCAAAGGCATGGAGTAACGCCTTGAACAACGCATCGCCGATGTTTGCTTTTCCTTTTAGCCAGTCCAACAAGACCCTCCATCTTTCTATATGCATATCAAGGCTGGCATCATCTGTGACGTTCCAATCACGAAGCTCTCCTGTAGCTGCAAAGCGTCTTTAAATTGAAAACGACGTTTGTCTGACGATAGTAATCGTAAATGCATTAGTCCTTATGATGCAGTACTTTACTGCCTCTGTGGCCCCGTGTAGCCTTGTAGTGCTGCGTGGCCCTGCGCAGCATCGTAGTGCTGCGCAATACAATTCCCTGTTAGGACGCTCTCTCTCCAGCTGAAGTCACGTTCCACGTCCACCCGGTCCGCGTCGTCCCTTGTCACAGCGTTCTTACCACAGGAACCACAATCTTTTACAGTTGCCTGGTTAACCAATATGACGAAGAAGAAGGCTCCACTTTAACCTTATGCATTGACTTTACCTACGGTTCCGGGCCTTCCGCCAACCTTGCTTCGCTGTAAGGTAGAAAACGGCGAAGTCAGATCTTCCTAGTTCTGCAACCGCGAACTCATGTTCTGTCTCTAGAGTGTGTATTCCTACATCCTCGCGCTCACACGCTTACCCTCAGCATGCGTGTTGATGTTACTCAGTCACGCAGTGTCTAGAAGTAGCTCACATATTCTGCTTATTAGAGTATGGCGAACGATATTAAATAAAATCAGCAATGAAAAAAGACCAGCCAAATGAAATCAAGCGACGTGACCTAGAACAAAGTGGGAAAATTTTTGGAGGAAAAAAGTGTTTACACACAACCAACTTAGAGTGATAAGGTTAAGTCTCAGTAGGACGTATACACCTGTAGGGGAGGAGTTAACGTACAAGCAAAGAGTCGGCGGCCGCTAAAGTGACGAGTGCCGTAGAGCAGATTGAAAGACATCGTTATGCAAGACTAAAACGGAGACAGCCACTGGGAGGCACAAAGAATAACACACCCAGCAACGAACACTCAGAAGCAGGAGGACAAAGTCAGCTATCAAAGAGGCTGCAGCCACCACAGCTACGGTGGCAAAGTTCGGCATAAAGGTGCAATAGGGAAAGGGATTTACAGAGGCCAGGATAGATGTTAGAAACGGACTGGCAGGCAACTTCACAGAATATCGGGATAATACATGGGATGAAGAAGGTGTAAGGCGCAGCACCACAATTTTGCGCAAGAGCAACCCCCAGCGGTTGTTTACTCCGAACCGAGAGCAATACCAGCTAACTGAAAAAATCAAATACTCAATTTTAATGCGAAAAATTAATAAGCCATCACAACAGCCGCGTACCACAAGAACACGCAATAAGTGAACCCTCTGCACGGAGTACAAAAAAATCAAAATAGAACCAAATTAACAGAAGGAATTAATTAGTAACTCAGTGGTGGAAATGCAATATGCAACACAAGCGGATGGAACATAGCCGTGTTCGACAACATAAAATACATGCCGAGAGAGTGACGAGACTATGATCTAGTGTCATTATGGATATTTTGTTGTTATTCCGGAGCGGTTAGCTGCAGTTAGCAATCTCGGTGTCACCGCTGACTGCGCCGGTACCCTGTTCAACCTGACCTAATTGCACACGGCCTGAAGCGTAATATGCAAAAAGGATCAGGTTTCTCTAATTAAAAGCATTTAGTAATGTATTTAATGAAAGTACTGCTAGGTCCTGCAGGCTTTCGAAACTGCTTGTGCGCAGCTTTGCAATGCCCCGTACCATTCTACGAGCGAATGCAAGGACGATGTCTGACCGTTCCACTTTTGAAGTATGCTTTGATTTTGCATCATTTTTGTCTGTTAAGTCAGTTTTTCGGAATTTGCGTGGAAGACATTTTTGATCGGGAGGCGAGCCCGCTAAAGGGTCA